ATTTAAATGGAATCGATTTTGAGTATTGTATAATTTTAAATGGACATCTAATGATAACATTAAATACTTATATATGAAATCAAATCATGAATATTTAATGAAAATATATAACTTTATCGATTTAATTGCTAAACAAAATTATAACTATACTTCTAATCTATTAAAATAGAGACATTCTTTTTATCTACTGATACAAGTTGTCATTTAAATTTGGATCCTTTCTAGAGTGTTACAAATAATATAAGTTTTATAATTGATTGAACCGCATTACTTAAATTAAACTAACACAATTAATGTAACATGGCGACCTTAATGTAAACTATCTTCAAAATACGGCGAATATCTATGTGTCTACCAAAAACACATATTTTCTCCTACAAATATGGAATGTTGTATAAGAATATATATTATCAAAATATGGAATATGAAAATCTACTAATTTTATTAATGTGGAAATCGTAATATACCATTTAGCATCTTAACAATTCCTTAAAAAATGGAAATTTAATAATTATATGAAACCAATGGAAATCCACTCTATAAAATAGAGTCTTTTTTTTATCTACTAATACAAATCCCCCTATACATTAAAAGAGAAGTCACTTTGACACGTGGCACTCACACAGCCCTTCTCAGAAGAATTCTAGCGATTCTATTGGTTGACTTTTTAGAATTTATTTTTTGATTTATTTTTACCATCGACACTACTAAAAAGGAAATCCATTTAAATACTTACCTTTTGTGTTTTCTCGATTCAAAGAACATCCTTTTGCGATCCTTTCTCTGTTTAATTCATTAAATACGCATTAAAATCCTTAAGAATGCATTAAATCGTTTAGCTTGGCCATGAAGAATCTCTATATAATAACTACTCAAAAATATTGTTTCTTTAAATCGTAGATATTATAAAGATTTCTGTACCAAACGAATTGTAAATATTGCTAAGATATGTAAATTTTCGTTAGCAATATAGTTTTAAATATTTTTGCTTGATCAATACTCTAGNCTAGGGATTTCCTAAACTGAATCCGAATATACTAAAGATTTTGTTTAAGCGTCAGTTAGAAGCCATCGACTAACCTACTGCTATATAAAAACCCATAAAGTGCCAAAGTTTTCTCAAATCTATTCACAGCTACATTAGCTACAAATAAAATCCATGCCTCTTGCAAGAAGACTTACATGGAAAATAAAGGACACCTTCTCCCTGTTGAAGCATGGAGACACATTCAGAATTATAGCTCAGTCCTGCAACCGGATCCTATCGAGCAACCGATCATTCCTACAAAATGAGTATCGTCAATAGTACAAAAACACAAGATCTCTTCTTGTGAATGAAAACATGTTCCTAAGTTTGGTAGACTTTCCGTCTCTGTTTTGAGTGGATCACTCAACCCAAATGTTCTCATTCGTAATTTTTACATCAATGTATTCTATTATATTTTCAATAACTGAAACGCTAATTTTTAAATTTTTTTTGCAGATGTGCTTGGTCAGGTTATGGACTTGGGAGTGCTTGAAACTATCCAAGTCGCAGTGAAGTTTACACCTCGCGACATCAAGTAATTTTTTTTATCTCACGTTTATTATTTTGAGTGATCCTTCAAGTTCATATTAATTCAATACTTATTCTACTTTTAATAATAGTGACTCTCGTGTTTCCTGTTGTGTGAGATCCTCTATGAGGGTTGCAGTAAAGAAGAAGAAAGAAAAGCCATATACCTAATCAGGTTTGTAAGGATCGGGAGATTTAGAGGTATAAAGTTTTCTTATCTATTAAATTAAAAAAAAAAAATAATAGATAATATAATTTTCAAGTGGATGTTAATTGTATTATAATATACTTACGTATATATTCGCTGCAGGTGAACTCCAAATCACCAAAGCATTTGAGGCATCACAGCTCATGATTAATCCTGCAATTTCAGAGACTGATGCCTTCAACAAATGTGATGTTTCATTCATCTTTAAGATTTTATCTTCGGTCTATATAGGTATTTTCTTGAACATGATTTCATTATGTTGTTTATACACATATTAATAAACTAATCATGCTGTATTTATATGGAAATTAGGATTTATAATAACGTGAAAGAAGACAAAGTA